ACTGTACTGTGGATGGAGCCAGGTGAGCAGTTTCCACATTTCCCTTCTTTATGCTAAACTATGCTAATCATATTCTGGGTCTACCTACATATATTAGCATGTAGAAATGCATCGTGTTGATCTTCTCATAAAGTAAAAAAAAACATAATATTCCTAGTATCACGCCATAAAACAGCTACATTTAATATCCCAATATAAAGAGCGTGACTGTTTCCAGTAGGATGTGCTTGGTATTGTAAATTAAGTCATGTTGACCTGGCACAGTTATCAGCTCAACCTGTCTTAGATGAACGCATTTTATTAGTGTCCCTCATCTATTTCTGGAACGTATTAATCAACTAACTTTACTGGCAACTTTATTGACCTGTTTTAAAAGTGGGCTTCAGTCAGTCAGCCTGTCTCTATCCTGAATTACTAGAACAGGAACACATCAATTATTCTGAACATGCCCTCAAGTGGTTCAATCTCACATATGACTTGATTTATCGTGTTTCATAATGCAGCTTTGAGCTCACGTGGTTATCCATATTTCCACTGGGGGTGATTGATTACCATACTGGTGCACCATGTACAGAGTTTCCAGTTAGTTCATTTCATTAGAGTTTTTAAGGATGACAGGGATGGAAGTTTTGTGTAAGGTATGTACAGTATGATGATGGAGGGATGTAGTCCACCTGCTTTTCTACAACTGACAACCTCGGATGAGATTTACTGTAGTCGTGCTAATTTGATAAAAGATAAATGATACAATAATCCCAAGTTATTCACAAAGTCTTTTCATGCGAGTCACATATAAAGGATTGAAGCGAATAACAATGTTGGCCCTGTAATGGTGTGTGCTAATCACAGTAATCAGTGCCTTTCAGTCACCTATTAATGGAGGTGCTCACCAAACTATAGCCACTTTCACTTTCTCCGTCTGCTGCCCTACATACTGCGCTCCCACAGCTGCCGCATGTCTCTGCAAATCAAAGGTGTGAGAGGTTGGGAAAAACTTTGATCTGATGCCAGTTATTGTTCCTCACCCCGTTTCAACTTTGGAGATAACATGAGTCCAGATATAAAGTCAACATATGAGTTTTATCAGCTCCTGGTAGTATCCACAGACTGTTTATAAAAATGAACGTCTCGTCTTCACTTCCCCCCGTTATGTAAAAATGAAGCCAAAATATCCCAGATACGGATGCCACCATCTTGCCCTTTTGACATCCTTTGAAACTACTCAGTAGTGTTCATGGAGAGGAGCCAGGTCCTGCCGATAAACACATTGGCATCAAATAACTAATTAAACTTAGCACTTCAGTGAAATAAAAACAACTGAATACTGATCTCATCCATAACATGAGGGCAGAATTTATGAGCTAAACTGCAACCAGCCACCAGGGGGCAATCCAGATGATTTGGCTTCACTTTTACCAGCTGTTCATCTTTCTATACATTGTGTGGTACTGGTTCTTTTGAGGGTTAACAGCAGCATCCAGGAGCAATACCGCCCCCTCCAGGTGGAGGCTAACCAATTACTTTATTAACTTAATTGCCAGGCACTGATTAAATCAAGATATATCTTCAGGACATGAAGATAATTGAATACATTCCCAGAATATGAAAATCCTGACCTGTTTTGACCGGTAAGCTTCAGGCCTATCAGATATTTGTTTTGGTCTCACTGTATCTTCATGTGCACCTTTACTTCTCCCCACGAAGAAAGAACACCACAACAGAGTAATGCAGCGTTACATTTAATATACTGCAGCTGAAGATTCCAATAGAAGGTCGTGTAAACAGCAAACGCTCTCCCAGAGTTCCTTTCTGTTTATTGGGACAAAGAAAGACAACATTCATCAACACTGGCGCTCTCCTTCCATCTCCTCTGTGCAGACTCACAATCAGTTTGAAGCAATCAACCCTGAGCACTATCCAGGTAGAAAAGAGAACTGATCTCAAGTGGCAATCAGAACACCAGCTTCTCATTGGCTTCATGGCTCATTAATCACATCCAAGACACGAAACCTTCAGGACAGAGACAAAAGAAGAAAAACCGGCTGAGCATAAGATCTGAGATATGAGAGTGTGTCCTTGGGAAGGGGCCAGTGGGAGCAGCTGTCACTCAGCAGTGAGGACAGTATTTTTCTTGCCATCCAATCTTTAGGACAGGAAGACAGGAGAGAGGAGGAATGAAACAGGACAGCTACAGATACGTTCTCATTTAAAAGCTTTTCTAAACAGCAGGAGGAGTGCAGGCTTATCCAAAGGATTAACTTTATTTGTCCATCATGGAGGTAATTTAAAGTTGACACAGCAGGACGAGGAGGTAGCAGTGCGATAAAATAGAAAATCTATATTCACGGCTGTTTTCATAAATGTGCAACAGAAAGGTAAAGGTTATGTAATTGTGCAATCTGTCAGTCGTATGTCTGACATATGTGGTGTGAAGCAATCAAACAGGTTTTAATGATGTGGCTGATGTGTGATTTTAAAGGTTTAGTCCACCAAACAACTATATGAGCCACATATCACACAATACCAAAATCAGCACATATCCAGCTGGCTGAAGATGGTGTCATACCTAATTATAATTTACTTCCTGATCTTGAACTCTTAATTAGCAACTAATAAAAAAACAACAACTGTGATGTAGGGATTAATAATAAACACAAATACCTCTAATTACTGCTCAATGTGTTATGAAGCCTAGAAACCTCTACAGGTGCTGCGTTCCTTTCCTTGTTCACTGAGTCGTCATCACTGCTCATGACAACCACCCAGATGTCATGATATTTATTCCCAGCTTGTTGCAGCCTCCATTGGCGCTCATAAAATGTTTATATGGCTATAAACATGATAACCTGGGCCTCCCACCAGCAGGAACACACAGGATCATTTCGAGGTTTGTGTTTTGTTTCATTTCATTTCTTAAACCAGGCACTCATGTGATTCCACACGAGCGTAACAAACTCGTACATCTGTAAATCGGTTTCGTAAACGGATTCACTTCTTCCTCTGATCACCATTGGGGTCACCGATCATCAACAAACCTCATTTAGATTTAAATGGGGAACAAAACCACAGTAAAATAAGAGTCAGAGCGATATGGTTGAGCGCTCTGGAACCACCACAAATACATCCCACATCGAGAGCGAAGGCTCACGCTTGAACTTTAAAAGCCTCAAAGACAAACAGCTTTCCGTTTATTGCTGTTTGCTTTGGCTTTTAAGGCAGCAGCTTATTCCTGGAAAGAAACGCAGCCAGCATCACAACAGAGCCGCAGGATTCATGCTTTTAATAAACTTTATCTCGCCGTGTTCGGAATCACACCTGAAGAGCCGAGACTTTGACAGAAAGACAGGATTGACGGTGTAACGTGGCTAATATCTTTCTTTTCCAGACCCCCCCAGGTATCTCAGTGCCCCCAACAATCTAGATCCATCAGATGGTTACAGGTGACTCAGGTAATATACAGAATCCCATTTTATTCATTCCTGATGGAAAGTCAGTTGAGGAAAACGCCTGATTTCCCCTCACAAAAATGATTATTTTTGTCTCCTCTTTTCCCTCCTGCATCTAAAATGGCAAACTGATGAGTCGTGCTCTCTGCTATAATGAGACCACTTGTCTCCGTGTAATAATAACAAGGGGAAGAAAGGAGGGTTTTTTGTATGTTGCAACACATTTTCTACACATGTATCAAAGCAAGCGACAAATGGAACAGGGCCTAATGGTTCTGGTGTGGTTTTCATGACCAAAATCCATTAACTGAGTACTACACTACCCTGGTATGAGTCTCATGGCGCAGTACACATTACGATTTTCTAAATACCCAGCAAAGAGGAACAACAAAAGGCAAATGGACATTTTCTGGATTGTGTTAAGGGATTTTGTTCAGGGAATAGAAAATATTGTAGAAGTACATTTCCTCTTTTGGTTAAAAAAAAAAACTTTTTAGACTTCTACTACTTAGAAACATCTTTATTCAATGAAAGTATCTTTTTTTCTCTCGGGGGTCAAGTAGGAAATTTACAAATAGGTTACACGTCAGTTGTTTGGATTGAAACTCATGAAAAAACCACATCCACAGAGGCAGTTTGTCAGGGAGAGAAAGGAAAAAGAAATAAAGAGTAAAACATTTAGCGGACACAGATCCACACGGTCTCAGTGCTGTGGGTCTGACTCCAGATAGATGCCAAAGATTAACGTGAGCAAACCCTGGTACAACAAAAGGTTCACACTGGCTGACATTACAATTATTTTTCTAAAATGACAAATAATGCAAGTTGTTGATCTTCACCCACAAATCCCGTAACCTGTGTCATCGGTAAAGTGCGGTCACGCTCAGTCGGCTGGTCTGTGATTAGATACCAAAGGGATGATATGCTGGTGAGTCCTGCTCTCTTCTCAAATTTTACTTTGTAACTATCTGATGTAAACAAATTAAAAAAGGCCACTAGAACTTTTTTTAAATCAAGTGCATATTTAGCGATTTACCAATACACTGTACTGTCGCTAACCTCTGGTGCTATCTAGCTTTGTAGGCAATTTGAGATTTCTGCTTCCACCCTAACAAAGCAGAGGTGACTGGAATTTAGTTAGAGGTGTTACCATCATTTAATAATAACTTGTACTTCAAATTCTAGAAGCAAATCTCTCCAGAATAATAATAATAAAAACTGCATTTAGCATCATTTGACCGAACTGACAGGGAGTGATTATGAGAAATGTCCTTTGATCCTTTTCACATTACAAAAAGAAATATGTGGAGATAAATACTGGCATGGAGATTGAGCAGATTGAGTCATAAACAGATTACTGATACTTCAATACCAACTTGATGCCAAAAATGACAGAAAACAAAAAATGAGTGCTACGTGTATTATGTCCTGTGAACTGTTAAGAGAAAAAGCTCTACCTCAAAATCCTCTGTGTCCATTTGCTTACTTTAGTTTTAACCTGGGCGACTGAAAACCCCCCAAATGCATAGTTATATAACACTAAAAGTGAGAAAATGATTAGAAAATTTATTTATTTTTGATGACGATCTTTTCCATAAAAACCTTTCACAATAATCAGAGACCTGGTGGGAACATCAGTCAGTCTGAACTGTATGATAATGGGCGTTGATCTGAATTTGGTTTTACAGTGATAATCTCTCAAAGGTCTGGTCATGACAAGAAGAGAAAGTTCCTTTATCACCATGTCAACAAATGTACACTGAGGAGGAAGAGAACACATTCACATGTCTGGATCCGCTGGTTGCATTTACGACCCGAGCAAACTGTTGAGGACAAAAGAAAAATACAACTGTAAAACGTTTAGCTGCACGCCGTGACAAATCGATTCCAAACTCTTTGGCATGAACAACCAGCAAAGTACAAGTCATAATCTCATTTCACCTTTTTTCTCATCAATATAAAAACTTGAAATAGAAAACGGTAAAACAGAAGTAGTATCAAATTCTATGTCTCCTAAAGTTTGTTATCTTACAATAAAATGTTAACATCAAAGTTTTTCATGCCAAAATGGCTGTATATCAATGCTACAAAAACGAAAATCAACTATCTAACTTATTTACAAAGCAAGATTTCATTTCTGTACAGGACATTCATTTTCATTACAGCACACAATCATGGCTCATACATCCTAAGTGGACATGAATCCAAAGCAGAAAAATAAAGTTTTAGGTACCACTCATAGGGAGGACTGGGGTTGTATTTTTTTTTTTTGTTCGTTCAGGTTCCCGGTCACATAAAGTCATTGAGCTCCGCCTCCAGTGCGGCGGCCATCTCATCTGCCTCAGAGCTGCTGCCTTCCTCTTCCTCGTTGGAGTCTTTGGAGGACTCGTCAGCAAATTGCTTACTCTCCTCCACTTCCTTGCCTTCATCGTGCTTACGTTTCTGGCCCCTACAAAAACAACAAAGGGTGATTTAAAAAGTATATTGTGCACTTTTAATCTGTGTGAATCCTCCGCTCCACTGCTGCAAAACAGAATTTATATTGTTAACATCGATTTCCCATTTAAATCTGATGCATAATGTATTTGTTACTTTGTTACATCGTGCAATGAACCCAGAACCAAAGTATAATGGCACTCGGAGAGAGAGCGTACGTCCACCATGGCCAAACAGTCCTCTTATGAAACCAAATTTAACTTCACTAAACCCTGATCTTTTATTGGATCTGCAGCAAATCACACACGCTCATAAACATCAGTCCCCTGACAGATATTTTTACTGTGAATTATTTTGAAAAGTCAATGAAAATGTGGAAAAATTCCCTCTCACGTTGTTTAAGAAAGACAAAACTTCCTGACCCATATTTTACATCCTTCCACCAAATTTCATGGAAATCGGTCCTGAAATTTAGAGTAAATGACAGATAAACAAATAATTGCATATGAAAACATAAACTCCTTGGCAGAGGTGAAAAGACAAAAGTTTGATAATGATAACTAAACCACAAGACTTCAATCCTTAAGGTGTGCTGCTAATTACATTTAGAAAAATATGCTAACGGAAAAAATGTCCCTACCAGCACTATAATCCACTAACTATTACAAGAAACTGATTTGCATTAAGACATGGGAGTGGCATCAATCTTCTCAACCTTTAGAAAGAAAGAGTAGAAGAGAGAATTGTATTTCCCAAAATTATCACTCTATTCCATTAACAGGACATAAGAACTTGATCTCGTTCGTCAATTTTTAGATTTAAAACATCTTTGATAAATAAGCTAATGACCAGATATTCTTCTAGCTGGCAAACCAAACATATAGATAGACCCAGTATAAGTACATACTAGTTAGCTACTGTACTTAGAAAAGGCTATGTACTTTTGACTCATGGACTTCATCATGGAAAAATTCAAAAATGATAATTCACATCTGATCAAAGATTAATAACAGTAAGAATCTAAACTATCTTTTGGTTGCAGTGGTTAATAGTTGTTGGTGTCTGTGGCACAGAGAAAACCCTGCTACCGTTAACAAGGTGGACTAAATCATACATTCATTTTAAACGTGTGCACTAAACAGACATTTTGAAACAGCGCGTGAATGGAATGAATTTAGCTTGTTGCTGCAAACAAGATGCTCGGGTGGATTCATGATGAAACCATAACAGGCGAGGGGGTAAAAAAAAGGAAAGCACACGTTCCTAAGTGGCTGAAGATTTTTTTTGATGTGGCTGTAAACATGCCATCCCTCTTTCCACTCCACCATGACATCCTCTGCAGAGAGGCTTATTAGCATGATGCTGAAGAGGTGTGTAGGGGGTTTGTACGGTTATTGTGGAGGTCTGACACCAGCTCTACAGGGAGCGGCCCTCTCATTAGGCCACACCGCTGTCAGACAACCCCGCTAACCTCCCGCAACAGTGCGGCTCTTGGTTGTGAGTTCATTATAGGTCAGATGTCAGCAACTATCAGTGGAGAGGCTCTGTGACCAGACAGTTAGAGTGGACCCCTGCAGTGCTGTGCAGTGTGGTGCGTGTGTGGGAGGGAAACGGTCGTGTTTGTTTAATGGCACAGCTCTGAACCGCTACATTACCGAGAAGTTTGATTTTCAGAGCCGTGAGATCGAGGCGCAGCGGTCAGAGGGTAATGTGAGGCTGAGCTACAACAGCAAAGTGAGATTAGTGATTAAAGATGATTCATTTGGTGACTATGAGGAGAAAACCATCCCCCACATGTACCACCATCAGTAAGGCTGTTCCTTGAACTGGGCTGGTTTGGCGAAACTGCATAAAACTATAAAGATGACATTTTTTTATACTTGGTTTATGCTTTCTTTTTTTCTTTCATTTTACATTAGCTGGGCGTGCAGGGGGTGAGTTTCTCCTTTCCTCCCATCTGCTTTGCATCATTAAATCCAATCTAAATCCTCGCCTATTAATCGAACCGCCCACAAACACTCCACACATCCACCATACTCATGTCAGCTCTAGAACGGCCTTTACATGTCATCCATTCTTATTACATTTCTGCTGCTTGCACATGCTGTTAAACTGCACAGCTTCAAACACAGCCTCCTGCAGTTTAAAGAAAACAAAAATTGAATCCATTTTAACTAGCACATCAGAAAAAGAAACGTTGCAAACTGTTGTTTTCAAGCAGAGAAACTTTTGGTGCTATTTTCAGTGACAGAGGACCTTACAAAAACATAAATACTGCAGTTGACAGATCAATGAACTGAGCCGGGAGCGAGGCTGCCCTTTCACACTGAGAGAGCACTTTGAATCAAGCTGCTGCCCGTGACACAAGAGGCAGAGGGCATCTGACACTCATCGCCTGTAGTTCGAGCAACTACTTGGAACTCAAAATGAAAGAAAATTGGCTCCAAATCAACTGATGTATTGGTGAAATCTCTGATTATGAGCTCTTTCCAGATGCTTCTGGAAATCAAACCGAATTCTGTTCCTCAGAAAATGCCAGACACCATCAGTTATGAGGGTGCAAAAGGTAATAATGTGTCATTACAATCACAGATGTTAGGCTCATTATTTTGAGACGTGATCATCTCTATGTTCTATGATTGCATTTAGGGGGGGGGGGCTGCCTGCTTGTGAACAAACAGCCTGCAGTTACCCTGTTACAACACATCGTTAGAAATACATAAGTGATATAAAATGACTCAATTACAAGTCAGGAAAACTGCATCTGCACCAAGACAAGATGCATTTTTATGAGACTGTGTGCTCTAATCCAGAAGGCAATAACGTTGCCCAGGGGAGCAACCAGAGGGGCTTAGTTGGGATCTGAGTTTAAAGAGAAATGGCATGGCCACATTTTAAATATGTGATGCAGAGTAACAATCCCTGCTGATAAAGCAGCGAGAACTCCACCCAACTTGCCATCGCATTCTGAAACCGGTGGGGAAAGAGAGAAAAATGAGGAGAGGAGGAAGCCCCTGTAAAAAGACTTCAACTGCTTCTGACAGCTCTGCTTACATCAGGAGGGAGAGAGGAAGTAAAAAAGGCAAAAGGAGCAAATTAAGTGTGAAAGAGGAGGAAACAGAGCACAGAAGACAGATGAGAGAGGTAATGATCTAAATAATGAACTCAACTTTTAGGACTCAGAGCAAATCTTGTATAGTTTCTCCCAATAAAGGAGGTGGACTTCTAAAGATCTTGTTCAGAGAGAATCTACTCAAACAAAGACCTTAATAACTGACCAGGACTAGGATCAATAGGGTGTCCTCACATTATCCTCAATTGTTTTCCATCTGTACGGGTCAGTTTGCTACAATAGGAAAAGCACATTCTGAGTAAGGGCTCTTAACAATGGCAGGAGGGACAGTGCTCTGCAACACTGGTGACCTGCTTCATACGGCTCCATTTTACCCATATCATTACAGCAGATGTGTCACATGCAGCTTGGATATGTACACTGTCGTCCCCTGTGTTTTCAACTGCTCCATATGCAGCAGGCTGATAAGCGGAGCAGTTTAACGATTGTTTTATACAGACATTATCTTCCCCTGCCCCTCATTATATTACCTCACTCTGAATACTGACAAACAGAGGAGGATGAAAGTACACGCACTGAAGCGGTGATGTGCGATGGTTTTACGAGGGACCTGTCTGTTTTGCTTTGATACGTTTCAAAAACGATTTGACTTTCACCATTTTCGCAAGGAAATGAGAAACGCAGAGTTGCCTGACGAGTGCTCTCACAATGACTCCGTGAATAACTTCAAGCAGAATGCACACACTGTGGAGATGTTCTATGTGTTTGGGAGCTGACGCTGTACAGTGTCGCCTGACAAATCAGAGGGGGCTGGGTTTTTCTTTCACTATTTACATTTATCTGAACATTAGTATATGTAGTAAAAAATTGTAATTTGAATATGAGAATTACTCCAGTGACCTGCCCATCTATAAAATAATAAAGCTACTTAGACATCAATGAAACAATTCATTACTTTGTGTCCCTGGCATTTGAGTCTTTTCTCTTTTGGATGTGTGCCACTGTTTGGACTCACTGGACCAATTTAAAGCAGCAACACAACATTGACAAATTCATTTTATGAAGTTGTTATAACGGATTTATTGCTGAGTATCCAACACACACACAGTGTCATTTAAAATCTGCCACTTAGTAAATCCAGTATTTCCTCAACCTTTTAGCTCTACGTTTAGTGTCCACCACCTCCTGAGGGTGATATTAGTCTCTCACAAACAGGAAGACAACATAGTCTTCCTGTCTAGACCACACTACAATACACAGGTGGTTTGATCCAAGCTTTTATTTTTTAGTAAACATCTGCCTGAGTGATCTGAAAAGATAAAAAGCAAAACAACGAGCTAGAATGCTCCTTAATGCTTGTTTGTACATGGAGCTCCAGCTCTTGTGGCTTTATTGACTTTAAAGACAAGAACTTTATTGACTTGACTTCATGGATTTGATGCACGTTAGATACACTGTCCCCAAAACTGAAAATGATTTATAGTGTGTTGGTGGCCAAGAGTAACAGTTTTTGTGTTATCACTCAAGTTAATTTACATTAAATAATGATAAATGAGGATCATTTCCGTCACAACGTTGCATTAACCTGTAGACAATAGTATAAAAAACACAACTTGCTGACAAAAGGTGTGATGCAGCGTATCAACTGTGTTATTCACTGTCAATGTCACTCATATGTCCCCAGTCACCAATGCCTGCATCAAACCACCTCCATCTCTGGCTCCGCCGCAGGCAGGAGAATTGGATTAGAGCCCCCAGGCGTCCTTTCATAACTTTCCTCTTTTCGCTGTCTGCTTACATGCAGCAGCAGCTTTGACGAGGCTGTGCAAATCTTTTCACAGAAGCTTGAGAGAGATTTGGACCCAGAGCTCTGGACCCTGCAGCTGGTTCAAACAGTGCATGGCAGAAAAAAAAAAAACTAAAATGGATCTGTCTTCTGA